CCCCCGGGCTCTCCTGGGATTACGGAACAATGAGGGTCTGGCGCTCCCACCCCCGGAGCTCAGCTCTCCTGCCGCGCTAGAGCCAAGCTGAACGCCCCTGCTCAGCCATCTCACACAGAGCCTCTTGGACTCGTGCCGTCAGCTGGAAGCCAAACCACCTGGCCCATTCACTGCACTGGCCTCCAGGGTCAGGGTGGACCTGGATTTAGGGTCAAATCGGCATTGCATTTTGGGGGTCTGGCGCTCCCACCCCCGGAGCTCAGCTCTCCTGCCGCGCTAGAGCCAAGCTGAACGCCCCTGCTCAGCCATCTCACACAGAGCCTCTTGGACTCGTGCCGTCAGCTGGAAGCCAAACCACCTGGCCCATTCACTGCACTGGCCTCCAGGGTCAGGGTGGACCTGGATTTAGGGTCAAATCGGCATTGCATTTTGGGTGGCAATGCCACGCCCTTCAATCTGGCCAGGATCCTCCACTCGGGGGACATGGGTCTGCCCCCCATTTTTGCCTCCCTGCCCCATGGGGCCTGTAACCAGAGACGCACACCCATGGAGCATCCAGTGCTTGCAACCGTGAGTCTCAGCGTGTGCTCCCTGGAAGCTTAGCACCAGGGCGGCCACCCAGGATAGATTCAAGTTCCGGCCAGCGGATTAGCAGAGCACCTGCAGCCAGCAACCTGTGTTTCTTCTACTGGTGCACATCCGCACATACTTCGGTGCACAGAAACAAAATTATTCCACACACGGAAGGAAAATAATTAGAGGGCACACTGGTCTTAGGATTGGATGAGAGCGTTGGCTTTCAAAGTAAGGCCCCAGCTTTGGTGGCTGCTGAGCGCAGCCTGAAAAGACAAACCCGAAAGGCTCAACTCTCCTGAAGGGTGAGAGGCAGAACCCAGGCTGGATTTTCATTTGTAAGATTCCTCAGGGGCCTTCTTTGGGCTAGTGTGCCCATGCTGCACCAACGTACCTGAAAGCAGATGCTGGGGGCGAGGGAATCCTCAGCTAAGCAATCCGAGCTGCCCCCCAGGGGTTTGCACCAGTGCAGGCCTGTGTGAAGACCTGTCCAGGCCTTGCACGTGGGCCTCTGGGCACTGGAGCCCATGCAAACGCTGCTGCCCCAATGGGAGGGGCCCCCTTGCTGATGCCCCACGACTCGTCCGTGTCTTGCAGTTAACAATGCCGGAGTGGGCATGATTGGCCCCATTGAGTGCCAGACCATCGAGGAGATGAAGAGCGTGATGGAGACCAACTTCTTTGGGGTGGTGCGGATGATCAAGGAGGTGCTGCCGGATATGAAGAAGAGGAGGAGCGGGCACATCGTGGTGATCAGCAGCGTGATGGGCCTGCAAGGTAGGTGACGGCGGGGGGAGGAGGGGGAGCATCCCCCAACAGCTGTGCAACATTGGTTCTGTCCTGGTGTCCCCCCCCCCCCGCAACTGCAAATCTCAGGCGCAGCGTTTGCACCCCCCGTTGTGCTGCCTGGAGCTGCCGCCCCAAATACAAACGTCAAACTCCAGGCGGAACCTCTCTAGTCCGGCACACTTGGGAGTCAGAGAATTTGCCGGATCACGGAGGGTCAGTATTGTCTAGTTGTATTATCGGCACTCCTACTGCTTACTGGGCTGTGAGACGACATTTAGGGCTCAATTAGCACTAAAGAGCAGCACCAAACCCTGAGCCCTGGTCTACACGAGGGCATTACTTGGAAATATCCCCCCTTCGGTGGAATGTATAAGCGGCGCGTCCACACTACGGGTATGTCTACACTGCACACTAATTTTGAAATAAGCTATTCCAGAAGAGTTATTGTGAAATAGCTAAATAGCCCGTCTACACTCCAGGGAAGCCTCAAAATAAGTCCGAGGCCGGATTCCTAATGTAGCCGTGCTGTCTCAATGTAGAGCCCCAGGAGGCACTGGGGAGGAATAACTAAGAAAAGCCCTGGCGAAAGGCTATTTCGAAATAGCAGCTGTGGAGAGTCTACACACGCCTTATTTCAAAATAGCTATTTTGGAAGAGGCGTTATTCCTCGTAGAATGAGATTTACAGATATCGGAATAAGCCATCCGTTATTCTGAAATTATTTCGAAATAATGGAATTACTGTGTAGACGGTCACATTGTTATTTTGAAATAATGGTGCAGTGTAGATGCACCTATCAGGCCCAGCATTTCAAAATAACGGGCTGCTTATTTCAAAATCTGTCCTTCTGCTTTCCTCGGGGAACAACGCTCATTTCGAAACAGTGATTTCGAAATAGCAGTAGCGTGTCCGTGCCAGTGCTGCTATTTCAAACTAACTATTCCCCAGAGGAATTCGAACTAATTACTTCAGTCGAGGTAGCGCATGCACATTAACGGAGCCTGCCTTGGACTAATTTCGTCGTGGGGACACGCTATTTCGATTTTGTTGTTAAGCCGATTTTAGTTATTTTGAAATAATTTCCTAGTGTAGACATGCCCTGAAAGCCAGGACCGGTGGCTGTAAACAAACTTTATGGGACCGTGGGAAACTTGTCCACACCCATGCTAAGTGGACATCCGGCGAACTCAAATCTTGCCGGACCACGGAGGTTGCCAGACCAGAGAGTGCCGAATTAGAGAGGTTCAACCTATACATCTCTGCCTTCAGCTCTAGTGGTAGCAACTTTATGGCTTTAGAACGGAAGGTCCCACTGTCGGTTACCGGAGTGTTATCCAAACTGGCAGCCACCACATAAGGATGCCGGTTTCTGGCTTTGGATAAGTATGTGTCTATCTGTCACTAAAAAGGGCCTGATTTTTCCACCTGTGCTGTGGCGTTTTAATCTCCTCTCTGAGACATGTTCGTTGTCAAGCTTTACAGTTGTTAAAATTGTTGGAGCCGGGAGCCAGTCTCCGGTCTCACCCACATGTGCAGAGACTCGTTTGTTCATTCTGTGCTATTTCATGGGTTTTTTCTCAAAGCCCCAGCTCCTGGAGTTAGGGGATTAGGAAGGAAAATCTTATAGATTGTGCTTGGTGCTGTACAGACACAGAGCAAAGTCCCTGCCCCAAGGAACTTACAATTGAAATGACTCACTTTTCAGAGTCTTGTCTGCCCCAAGCTAGCGTGAAACTGACCCATCGTGGGTGGTGGTGGAACCACAAAAAGGAATTTTGTGGAGACGGCCGAGGCTCGGTGACGATGGGCGGAAGGAAGTTTCTGTCAGTCCTGGGTTCAATTCCCGTTAAGTGGATCGTTTAATACTCCTGAGATTCCAGCCTGGTGTTAACAGCATCTGGGCAGCCTAGCGCCTTGGCCTGGGATCTGTCTGGTTCATATTTAAATCAGCAGTTCTCAGACAAGGGACTGGGACACCAAGGAGTGACCCCGTTTGAATGGGACTTCCAGGGCAGGCTTCGATTTGCCGTGGCCCGGGGCCCGAGCCCCAGGGGCTGAAGTCCTTGGACTCTGGCAAAGGAAGCGCCAGGCTGGGAATCGGGGCTCTGCCTGGATTCTGGTTCCGAACTGCTGGGTAACCTTGGGCCAGTCACGGCCTGGCTGCGTGCCTCAGTTTCCCCTTCCATCTTTTGGTCGTTTTTAGAGGTTAATCTTTTTGGAGCAGGAGGATGTGCGGCACCGAGAACGAGGGGGCCCCCATCTCACTCACGGTCTCGCCACCTCCCTGGAACGCAAAGAAATAACAGTGAAAACGCCAAGGACATGTTGCTTTCCTGTATCAGGCTCGAGGCCCATCTACCCCCCGTACCCCTGCCAGGGGGAGGAACTTTGATTTCCTACCAGGGTGGCAGGAATTGGGGGGGGGCTGAGGTTTCAGCCCCGCCCCCCCCCCCACCGTTGGGGTTGTGTAATAATTTATTTAAAGCAACATAACCCCTCAAGGGAACGAGAGCGCCTGCTGGCAGGGTCCCACGCAGGGACATCACCGCTGGTATCCGCTGCCTCAGCCAGGTCTCCTGGCCGACCCGGGATGACGGCTGCCGTCCCCCCGCAACGCCAGACCCCTGCCGGAGCCGGGCTCGGCTCAGCGACATGGAAGGAGCGAGAGGCGCCGTCTCCTCTCTGCCCTGTGGCGTGTGAGGCTTTGACTAACTCTCTCCGCGCCACGGCAGCAGGCCGGGAGGGGAAGGTTTGTCATGGATGGTGGCCCCCACCTTTTCTGTCAGCCAGCGCTAATGTGGCCCTTTGGCCCGGAGCAGAGGTCACAAGAAAGCAGCTACCGCCAGGCCGCGAGAGCTGGTGCGCTGCCGCCAGAAGCCAGGCCCGGCTCAGGCTGGGACGCGGCTGACCCAAGGTGGCGTCCCCTGACGTTGATTTGCACCCGTTGGGGGCCTGGCATCCTTAGCCCTGGCTTGTAGAGAACATGGGGTTTGTTTGTGTGACCATAACCACGCCAGCCGCCTCCTGATTGCCCCCTCAAGATCTCTTGCTTCCTTCCTCAGTTTCCCCTCATGGAGTGCTCCACAGCTCCCAAAAGGCTTCTCTCTGTTTCATAATCTCTCTCTCAGGGGCTGTTTTATCAGCATCAAGCTCAAAATAAACACCCACAAATAGAGTTGCCAGGTGTCTGGTTTTCGCTCAGATTGTCCATTAGTTGGGTCCCCCGTCTGGTAAAAAAAACCCAGAAAATACCGGACATGTGAAATGTCCGGTATTTCCCGTTTCTCTCGGACAGAAGCCCAGCGGGGACAATTTTCCCCTGCCACGCCTGGTGGCGGCGGGGAAATGAGGAGCACGGGCCATTTAAAGGCACAGGGCCTGGCTTTTTTTTTTTTTTTTGTGCTCAACAACTTTGGTCTCCTCCCCTTTTTTTTCCACAGGAGAACTTTTTTCCCCAGTGTTTTTTTTTGGGGGGGTGGGGGGGTGGGTATTTTTTGTTAAACCACCTGGCAACCCTACCCACAAAATGGTTCTTCCCCTCCCCCCCTCCGAGTTATAAGTTGGATGTGGCCTCTTCTCCCCCAAAAGTTTTCCTGGCTGGACACTCTGAAGCTTCTCTCCAGCTTTCTCTGCCTCCGGCTTCAAGGCCCAAATGCCTCCCCCCGACCTCCGCAAGGGTCTCAGACGGGTGCCACCTGCTCGCTGCTGCTCTGTGACAGCTTCCTTCCTGCTTCCTTGCCACCTCAGGCTCTTTCGGGGGACCCGCTGCCTTGCTCAGGCACTGGCAGGAGGCCCGTTGGCCTGCCCCAGTTCCACCTACAGGCCCCAGCTCACCTGGGACTCTGATCGGCAGCAGCCCCCCCCAGCTGGCGGAGGAGGAGCAAGGCTGGGAATCAGGGCTCCTGGAGTCTGGTCCCGGCCCTGCGACTGAGCAGCGGGGTGACCTAGGGCCAGTCACGGCCTCGCTCCATGACTCAGTTTCCCCTCCCACGTTTAGACTGCAGTCTTTCTGGAGCAGGGACTCTTACGAGGTGGATGTGCAGCACCGAGCACGAGGGGGCCCTGATCTCCCCACGGTCCCTACACATCCTGCGGCCACAAATAAGTAACAGTGAAGACACAGGTACCTGGGAGGTTTCAAGGCAGTAGAGGCTGCTGGCCTATCTCTGGCTCAAGGTCCATCTAGCCCAGAAGCACGCCCCCCCCCCCCTTCCCACCTTCCACAGTGACAGCGATTTCAGGCAAAGGCTGCAAAATCCCCCAATTATGCACAGGTCTGGAATAAGACTGAGGCATCACTGGGGGGGGACGGAGGGCGGGGGGAAG